GTGTGGATGACTCTGCTTAACTGTTTAAAAAAGCCTCTAAAAAAAACCGCCCTCTACAGGAGGCAGGAGAACAACGTGCCTCATCTACGTCAGGGATTTTTCGGCTTTTAACCCTTGCTTAGCTCTGCTCGAGTGATCATAAAGTCAGACTAGATGAGGCACCTCGTTCTCCCGCCTCCTCCTGTAGTTTTTTAGAGGCTTTTATAAACAGTTAAGCACTAAGCAGAGTCATCCACTGTGACTCTGGCAGCAACTACCTCAGCCTTTTTCCTTTTTATTTTTTTTTCTTTTCATGATGACAGTGGTGAGACTCTGCCTCCCCTACCTCCCCTGACTGCACGTCCCTGCTCAATAGGATATTCAACAAACTGAAGAGAGGTATCAAATGGGATGTCATACTTATCTTGGGCTTTATACTCTTTCATATTTTTATTAATGACATGGAGATACAATATTTATTGAATTTAAAAAATGGGTGAGGTTGCTAATTCTTCAGAATGCAAATAAAATTGAAATTGAGTTTATTAGGTTGGAGAAATTAGCTGAAATTAACTGAAAAAAGTTGAAGAAATGAGCAAATTTTTTATTTAGAAAATAAAAAAATGATATGGGGAACTTAATTTCATATTTATAAAAAAATGAAATAGTAACTGATTGCAAAGAACATTTAAGTAAACAGTGTGCTAAGAGTACAAAATGTTAAGTGCAATTTTAGGCTGTATTATGAATAATATATTATCCAAGTTATTGAAAGTAACAGTACTTAACTGGTCAGACCCCTCCATGAAGGACTGTGTCTAGTTCTGAACAGTAATCTTTGACACAGAGAAAAATCAGAAAAACTGGATTAGGTTCACAGAATGTCAGTGAAGATGGTCAGGGTAATAGAAATTAACCTATATAAAAGGTATTGAATGAGTAGGCTACATTAAGTCCTTGGAAAAAGTTATGGAAATCTGATAGTACTTTCGAAATACCTGAATGGGTATCATTAAATTTAAGGTGAAGGACCTAGAGTAATGCATTTAAGTTGCAGAGTAATACATTTAAGTTGCAGTTGCAGTTACATTTAAGTTACTAATGCATTAAGAAAGGACGTTTTTGACAATGTTAGATAATACATCCTCAAAATAAATGCAATTCAATGCAGGAATCAGTTATCTGGGGAGGTTAAAGTTTTTCTGTCACTGAATATATTCAAATGGATAGTGGATAACCATCTGTCTGAAAGTTTTTACCTTGAATATCTGCACTGAGTAAAGTTCTATAATACTATTTTCTATTGAGAACACTGCAAAAAAAAACCTACTTTTAATAAAATGTATACTATTAGTTATTTGATTTATATCAAATAAAAAGTGTAATATAATTTTCTTAAATCTTCATTTTAACATTACATTTTCTTTCACTGCTTTTGAACTTATTAATTAAAAAATCAATAGCACTTGAATACCTGTAATCAATAAAAAGAATTGGAAGTTTTAAGCATTTTAGGCTTCCCATATTATTAGTGTTTTACTTGAATTTGAATTGCATATCTTTATTTTTATGTATACATTAAAATATGTCACCAAGCCTTCAAACCATGGAAAGTTCAACAAATTTTAAAAATTGAAGTTTTATCCTTGAACCATAAGAAAAATTACCCAGTTTCTCTCTAGCTCTTGTATAGATTGTATTTGCAAGGCTCTTTTAGCAACCAAAAGCACGGATTATGTAAGATAGTGCATTAATACTCTGAAAGCTTGCAAGTGGTATTAAATAATGGAATTAACAATATTTATAATTGTAAGTAAAGAGTTAATTTAGGCCAGATAATAGGCTTGAAATGAAATCAGAATGTCAGGATTCATTCCTTAAAAACTGAAAGCCTAAAAAAGATATTTAAGAGCCCTTTGTCTTTCAACATTTTCTCTCAAACATACATTTTTTACTGCTCCATGCAGACTGAGAAGCAATGCAACATTTCATAAGTGGAAAGCAGATTTCCTCACAGGATCAAACTGTATTTGTTTTAATTTACTCACATATAATCATAGTTTTAGTTTTACTTAAAGAGGGAAGAAAGGTACTAATCTGTTGATTGATGAATCAAAGCAATGTACATTTTATGCATAATGTGGTTCAGCCAGGAATCCTTAAACAAGCATTTCTCAATCCTATGTCATCCTTCTTGAAGCTTGTCATAAAAATATGTAACAAAAATATTTAAGACTACCTTGTAAAACAGCGTTAGTATTAGAGAAATGCACCCTGTAGGAAAAGGATGAATGTTCCTAAAGTCACAGAAAATGGAATATCCTCTCAACGACACAGTGTTAAGGATTCCATTTTTTTAAATTGTACCTTTATGGCACAGTATGCTGCATGTTTTCCCAAATACAACACATCCGCACCACGAATGTACTTTAGACTGAATTATAGACCAGCGTCGCGCGGAGTTCGAGAAAACTGAGGCTGATTTATGACATGATTATATAGCGTAATCTGATCATGAACTTTAATTTTCTATAATAGAAAATTATATAGCGTCTTTCTTTTCGAAGATCAATTGTTGCCCAACTGTTGCTTGAATGTGAACTACTGTAGCGGTACTATCGGCAGTCCAAGAAGAGCAACCAGAATTGGTGGGGACCATCAACTATCACTTTGTGGTTATGGGGAACAAGCGAAAAGGAAGAGAACGGCATTAAGGACCCCGTACATCACCCAGAAAACGAGGGGACGAGGAAGGAAAGCAAAGGAAGGGAGACACCTGCAAAGCCCAACACGGGAAGGGGAGAAAAGAAACAGTTATTACCGAGGACAAACAGGACCACTCCAACGCAGCTGCTTCCGCCTTCACTAGTTCCGTCCGGCCCTATCCTGTGTTTAATGCGTTCTCGTCGCAAGGGCCGCTGGGAAATGTAGTACCGAGAGTCACCCTCTTAATTTAGCGTTCCTTCAAATATCTTTTTTCGATCTAGCCGTTCTAAGAAAAGTCATAATTAAGCGCCTTAAGAAATTCTTCTTTTGGATTTGCATAGTCTGTTACGTTCATCCGGTGAATATGGGACATTCTCTAACCTTGTTGAAGAATCCCGCCATGCGACGGCTTAAAGTTTACGGGCTGATTCTCTCCTTGCATTTTACCAACGTTATGTACTTAGTGGTAGGAATAGAAGCTCTCTGCTCTGCACATGCGCAACAATGNCCGAGTAGCCCTTCAACGGCATGCATCCTGGAACAACTCACAGGTGTTGTCTGGATCACTCACTCTTGTCTCCTCCCCACTGATCCAGCGCCACCTGGTGGCCAACCAGTCTCTCCATGCCCTGCTAGGAATCATCACCCTGCCCAGGATCCTCCACCTCCTCCAGGGCCGACTCATAAGACCCCTCGCTGTCGGAGTCTGGCGGCAGCTCCAATGCTCCTGCCGGGCCACAACACTATCCCTCACTGCAGGGCCCTTCCCCAGGTCTGACGCCCAGGATGTGGTCAGGAGGGGTTGTCCATATGATAGGCTCGCACCAGGCCAGGGGCATGAACGGCTGTTGCATCGGTCCAGGTCCCCTCGTCCGACCCCTCATCTGCCCAGTCAACCAAATACTGGAACCGTCCCTTGAGCCATCTTGAATCATGAATCCGGACCACTTTGTGCAGTGGCAGTGTATCCACTGCACACGACGATGATTGAGGGGCAGAGGGTCGGCGGAGAGGACAAGCTGATCGTTCAGGGATCAAGAGCAAGCAATGGAACACCGGGTGCACTCGCATCAAGCATGGGAAGGTGTGGTGATAAGCCACTGGGTTGATGACGGCCTCCACAGGAAACAGTCCAAGATATCGGTGGTCTAACCTCTTAGCCGGCCGCTGGGATGGAAGATGCCGTGTGGACAGACACACACAATCTCCTACAGCCAACTCTGGCACTGCACGCCGAGACTTATCTGCCGCCCTTTTGTAATCTTCCTTCGCCTGGTTCAGATAGCAGCGCACCACTTGGTGGACCTGGAGCTCAGAGAGGAAGTCCTGTGCTGCAGGGACCAGGGAGTCCCCCGGTTGAGAGGGAAAAACTGAGGATGGTACCCGACGTTAGCCATAAAGGATGTCTGTGTGGAGGTGTGTTGGGAGTTGTTAAATGCAAACTCCGCCACGGCCAGGTACTCCGCCCAGTTGTTTTGCTGCTGATTCACAAAACAGCGCAGGTACTGTTCTATAATCCCAATCACCTTCTCCATACCCCCATCAGTTTCGGGATGGTGCACTAAGGACAAACATACTTGAACATCAAGAGCTGCCATCAGCCCTTTCCAAAACTGGCCGTGAATTGTGTCCCACGGTCCGACATGGAAACAATTGGACAATTCCTTGTTTGTCCAATTACACTTGGCCAATAAAGAATTCTATACACACACACATACACACTTATCCATCTGCAAAGCAGAGCAATATAATTCATTTGAATTCTCACATATTTATACATATGTATATCTTCTCACAGTACTTTTTTACTATTATAATAGAGACCCAAACTCAAGAGGTCTTCAAAAATCACTGCCTGGGGTTGCTGCTACATCTGCTGTTGCAAATAAGGATAATGTATCTAAATCAGTCTTTTCTAACTTGATGTGTGCTAGATGTGTTCTAAAAACTTCCTAGGTAGTTTGACCAACAGCTAGGGGAAGACTACAGTAAACCATTTGAGAGAAGCAAAACTGTAATTTTTAACATGATGGAAAAAGAAAACAGTAAAGAAATAATGAAAACTTGGGAAAACAAAACATGGTACATCAAGAGAACCAACAGGAAAGGAAACTATTATTACTAAGAGACATAAACTTTGAATAGCTTAGATTTTGAAGTTTCCAAAAGTTTCAAATGTATGCCTTGACTAGCATACATAACTAGATGCAATACTTTAATTACAAATTTACAGGGTTCTGCATTGTACCAGTGAAATTGGGCTTTTGCTTTCCTGGGCACAGGAACAATTGAACATAAATTCAATAAAGAACACAGAACTCATTTTTAAAAATAAAAAAGGAAAGAAAAGAAACAAATTGGAGAGAAATCCAACACTGGCATACTCAGAAATCTAAGAACAAGCTTTTTGTGGATATAGCTGGGCTTTACAAAGCATAAGAATTATGTTGACTGCATCTTATTGGCTTTTGTATTTTGGCCAGAAGCAGCCGTTAGACGACACAATAAGCTTAGCCTCAGCCTTATACTTTATGGTTTGAATTTCCCAATATTTTACTGACTGAATATGGCCAAGGGAAAACAAACAAACAAAAATGTCCCATTCACAGAATCCGTTTCAAGACAGAGAGAACAAACGAACAGGGGAACATACTCAGCTATATATTCTAGATAGAGAATTGTAATGAATCTTATAAATACTTCTCCAGGGTGTAATTACGTATTTGGTCAGATTTTCACTTGGAATGACTCTGTGATCCATAGGAACAAATTATCATCAAATAAAGTCTGTTTACATGCAGGTACCAGGGGAACAGAACCTTTAAGAATTATGACACCTCATAAAACAAAAAGTGAAAAGGCTGTTGGCTTTACTTTAAAATAAATGGAGCTCTCCCTTGTGCTCCTGCATGCTGTGTTTTCCTCATATTCAGACTCTTTGTGGAATGACAGTTTGCTAACAGGCCATTGCTTGATAAAGCCAAGGAGCACTACTCAGTGAGCCATTATTAAAATAAATTATTCTCTTTGTCCCCTTTTCCATGGCAATAAAGGTTTTATGCAGCAGTATAATTGTATAATCAGGAATAGTTCCTCCTTTGAAGCCAATGTCTACAGTTGCTTCATACACAAGCCATGCCATCAAGTCCAATTTTAGAAACAATATTGGTGCATTTAGGGGTGATGGCGTGCTTTGTTGTGGGATAAGGGGAGCAACCAATAATTATTCCATTCTTTTAAATCATTTTATCATGACAATTGTATTGATTGTGGAATATCTTTCTATGTACTTCCTCAAAGAAGAGTTCCATTATAATGAATTTGATTATGTGAAACATAATTGCAAAACATTCCTTCATTCTCACAATTGTACTCTATACAGTACATGATCTTATTTTAAGACAATTCGGAATGTTCTGATAATCGGACTTTTGAAGTGACAGCAAGAGGTTTCATTATGAAAAAGTCTTGTAAGCAATTTCTCGGTTTATATTTTAAATCTCATGTGATCACTTTTCTGGACACATGATTTATGAATTGTTTAAAAATACAATCTTAATATATTTTATTTTATTTTGTTCAATCATGTCTGCTTCTTAGGGACTGCCTGGAAAAGTCTCATTTTATTGACAAGATTTTTCAGAAGTACTTTTCCATTGCCTCCTTCCTAGAGCTGAGGGGAAAGTTACTGGCCCAAGATCACCCAGTTTCCTTTAGGTACAAGGCAGGACTAAAACTCATGGTCTCCCAGTTTATAGCCTAATAGCTTAACCACCACACTAAACTGGCTCTTAATAAATAACATAATGTAATCCACCATGAGTATAATTTATCCTGTTACCTTCATTGAGTCTTTAAAAAAAACTTCAATAAACATAAGTTAAAATTTAAAACGACACTACTGGTGGCATCTTCCCATATTTTCACATTATCACAAGTTATAACAATCCTATCTGTTCAAGGAAACAATTGGTACACGCCCTTCAGGAGACATATGGTCTATGCATCTCAAATTATAAGCTGGCAATTCTAAGCCCAATAATGTGAAAGGAAGTCTCACCAAGACTGAGGTAAATTTGCTTCCAAGTCCACATGCATAACAAAAAAACAAATAGAACACAAATAGAAATGTGCCAATATAAATGAAAGCACAGCAGTTTTCTCTTGTCTGTGCATATCTCAGTTTAAATATCTGAAGCTTTCTGGTTTTGCTAAATCTGATACAAGCATGCCAACTGCACACATGCAATTTCAGATCCTAATACAAAACTATATTTCTTCTTTAGCAATAGTATCAAATGATGCATAAATAATGAAGAGGGCTGTTTAAAAAAAAAGAGATTAAATACCCTGAGCTTTTTGCCAGTACATAATGAATTACCATTCATTTATGGGAGAATCTGTGTAAAAGAAAAATAGTGTTGTACAACTAATAATTTTTGTTCTATTATCTTCCACATATATCTCATTAAAGCAGCCATATCCACTGCTTTCCAGTACAGAAATATCTTAATGCATGAAGAAACTGTGTGACATTCTTATAGAAGGAATTCTTTGCATATTGTTTCATATTGAAACCAACACTGCAGCTCTGCAAAGAGGCACTTGGGAAATGCAGATGTTAAAACAGAGATTTTCAAACACAGCTGCTTTTGAGTAAGCTGTGAAAAGAGAGCTTTTCCTCCACATTTTTAGACTAGTATTCCTGTTCAAACCATATGCCTGAATATATACTTACAGTATCTCCTCTTTGCACCTGTTGTTTTTTCTCAAATAGGAAACAATTCACAAACGAAATGATGACTTGGGAATATTGGCATCATCTCTCTTCATTTAATAACAATTCTCTATAGGGCCAGATGCTTTAGGAAGTTAAGTCATATTTTAGAGCCCAGGAAAGTCTTCTTAAGTTTCTGACAAAGCTAATGCAAAGCTAAAAATGTGAACTGAAAAATCATTTTGTCCTCAAAACAAACATGTGTTTTATCCCAATCCCAATTGGTGATGTAAAGGAGCAAATCAATTGAACATATCTCAGTTGCAAAAAAAAAATCCAAAAATAACAGAATAACAAAATGATAAGGGATCTTGTACATCTTCTAGTCCAACCCCCTGCTCAGGCAGGAAACCCTATACCATTTCAGACAAATAGT